ATTTTATGTTTCTCGAAAAAAAAATCATGATTATTAGAAAGGAAATTTCAAAAATACTGCTCTTCAAATGAATTATGTATTATTTGACATTTTAAATAAAAAGGTAAAGTATAATGATGAAGTAATCGAGTGAATGAACATAAAAATTAATATCATTCAAAAAACATTTAATTATTAACCTAAGTAAGCTGCAAAGACCAATCCAACAAATTTGATTTGTCGGGTTAGCGTCGTTCTCATGAGATGAGTAGATTAAACATATTTTTGAAAGCATCAGCAATTATTATACTATCATAAAAAATATTTCATTTTTTTAGAAAACTTTGGTTTATTATCTAGTATTAGTAATCAAAATTTAGTTTTTCAAACTTCTAATTATTAGGAAGGAGTAATCAATATTAGAAAATTTGAAGTTATACACTGTAAAAAAAAATGAGTGAAATTTCACTCAGATTTCACTCAATACTTTCTCAATTTCTGTCCACACCCGATTGAGTGAAATTTCCACTCTACAGAACCGAGTGAATCTTCAATTCTCAGAGTGAAAAGCACTGAGTGTTTTCACTCAATCGAGATTAGACGAAAGACTCCTTTTTTACTCATTATTGTTTACCTTGAGTAGGATTTTGATCGATTTTGATAATTTATTCACTTTAAAATGAGTGAACTCACTAAGTGTTGAGTTCAAGACACCTTTTATTGAGTGACTTTTACTCAAATTTGTGTTACACTTAACTCGATTAGTACTCATATCTGAGTATTAATTTCACTCAGTATTGAGAAATATATTCTAAATTATTTTTTTAAAAGCTATATGTAAGCTAACTTGTTATTTTATAACAGGTGGGCAGGTGCCTTTCAAAGGTAAGTTTCAGTTTAGGACATGGTCTCGAACATGTCCATTTCCTAAAATTCACTTTTGGGAGGCATCTGGTCACTTGTAATAAAATAACAAGTTAGCTTACATAGCTTTTAAAAAAATCATTTAGAATATTTCGTTTTTTTTAACAAACCAAATAAAAAACTGTAGAACCTTCAAAAATATTTTTATTTGTCATTTTTATTTGACAAAAAAACAAATAAAACCAAATATAACACTATTATTATAATATCAAAAACATTTTAAAAAGTTTTCAACTCTTTTTGGAAAAAATACAGGAACTTTTTAAGCTAGATGTCTAGAAAAGTTGCATCACATCGCAAAAATCCGCTTTATTAAGAGCATTCGTCAGCTCGGCTACCAACATTCTCGAATATTTCTAATTTCTAAACTAACTTTTAATAACGAAAATCCTCCGGAAAATCCAGATACTTTTCCTCCTGAAAATTAAAAAAAAATGTTATTCTGCCAAATGTTCCAGTTCCCAGTTCCAGATTGAGGGAAAGTACCTAGATTTTCGCTACGCTAATTAGTCCAGGAAACATCCGAGCATTGCGGCAATCAGTAGACGCAGTCGAATTTGAATATATGTTAGGCGGATTTCTGCGATGTGAAAAAAAATGTTCTTAACATAAAACATATTTAGGAGTTATGAGTTCGTATTCGCTTCACCACGCCACGCGGCCACTGTCACACTTTACATCACACACACATACACTATGGACTTGTAACCTGGGCTGGAACTCTGAAGGAACAAGCGATCGGTACGACTCGAACCAGATAATTACAAACTGAGGAACAGCGAAATAGCTTCATCGGTATCGATCTACTCGTTACAGAGTTCCCACCTGGGCACCTTCGAAGGAACAAGACAACCTACGACTCGAACAGATAATTAAAACTGAGGAACAGGGAAATAGCTTATTCGGTATCGAAGAAGCGCGTATGACAATATGATTAGTAATGAGCGAAAATACTCTAAACTGGGTGATTTCACTCAAATTTTTATTGTGTAAAACTATAACATGAGTTTTTAAGTGAATTTTTCTATTCCATTACTCAAAGATAGGGGTTATAACTCGAACATGAGCTTATTCAATAGCTATTGATTAAATAGAGATCATATTTGAGTAAAATGATGAATTTACTCTATTTTAGATAAAAATGTACTCAATTATTTCACTCAAAAAATTCACTCCCTGAGAAATATGTGTTCACTCAGGCTGATTTTTTACAGTGTAGTATTAAAATCACTATCCATAACAAGATAATAAAAATAATTTTAGAACATCTTATGGTATGTCTATTTATTATTTACACCTCACACACATTTTTTTATAAAGAAACTCTACCAATTTATATTAATTGTTAATTAATTAATAATCCTTAATTATAATCTAAGTATGCAGAAAATTATTCAGATTAGAGAATGATCTTTCAAATTTCACTTCACCTATTATGGGTAAATTCATAAATATGAGCAAGTAATCTACTTAAAAGGTTTAAAATTGTGGTTGATAAAGGTCGAAGATTATCAAAAGCTACACTAAAAGGTGTGTTTCGTATTAAGGTCAATGTTAACAGGAAATTTTCAGGATTGGTGTAAGCGTATTTTTGGATAGTATGCCTATGCTGAAATATAATTTGGTAATGACGAAGGTATTACGAAATTTCAATTTTTTAAGTCAAATTAACCTAACCTAACCTAACCACACTAAAATAACAAGAAAAGTAATTATGCTTTAAAATGATACATTCTCCAACACTTTCTTATAATACAAGTAATATCTTTTCAAATTACTTGTCAAGATAGGAAATTACTTTGATAATTTTCATGTACGAAATCTTAATGGCAGAGATAACAGTACCGACATCCAAAATAAAACTTTTTAAAAATAAATAATTTCTTTGTTATCTTAATAATATTCAACAAGACGGGGAAAACACAAACAAGAGATGCCAGTTATCGCGAGGATTTTAAGCAACAAGCGTAAAGACCTTAACCTTTATAGTTTTTGCAGTACCGTTAAAATTAAATTCAAGGAAGACTGATTTTGAATAAAAGTGCCAACTTGTGACTGTGATAGTGCCTTTTTATTAAGAACATAAGTTAAAATGATATTTTTTATAATGGACAATTAGCGATGTTATATAATTTAGTGTAAAAATGGGTCAACAGCCGTCCAAGGATAAATTATCACGCTCAGCTTCAGAAAGGATTGACCGTAGAGAAAGGTTTCATAGTTTTGGAAAAAGATCCGGTAAGGACTTACACTTCAGATGGTACTGAAAATAAAATAATACTCTAATAATAATATTACTCTCTGAATAACATATTTCAGATTTTATTATTCTCAGGTTTGACCTATAACTGACCCTTAATTTGTGTTACAAAGTAACTAACAGTCTATTATTAAACGTGATTTAAAATTACGGTTATAAGATTTTATGTGTAATAATAGATAGTAATAATTTATGAAACTTCTTTTATTATTCTTTTAACTACAAAGTATTGTGTATTTTTATTATTTTTGTACATGAACGTCAACATTTTATAAAAAATTAAGTAGATGTACTTCCTCCAGAACAGGCTTTGTCATTTCTATTCTGGAATTATTATATACCTGGTGCGTCTCAAAGGCTCACCTCTATAACTTTTTTATTTTTTTCATATAAAAAAACAAGATTTGGTACGTTAGTATATGACATAAATTAAGATTGATTGCTGTATTCAGTTGTTTTTAGTCACTTCCTCTGTTTCACCTGAAATGACTACAACTTTTAATTTTTAAATGATACCCTCGGTATTTTTTACTTTATTCGATAGAAGATGACACTCTGTATAGAAACGACATATCATATGTCAACTTTTGACATTTTCGCATATGATTTATTTGAAATTGTAACATACGATCACATACGATTCATAACGACAATTTGACTCGAAATATACCAAGTTTGTGGTACCAAATTATTCGTAAAAAATGCTTTTTTTAAATACGCTAATGAGGCACCCTTGTTCCATTCGAAAAAAAATGAGATAAGTGAGATTAAAAATACGATTTGGGCATCTTTTAACCGACCAAGGCACGAAAAACTTTAAACGATCAAATCTATTTTTCCAACGATCCTTGATTAAAAATTAGTATTTTGAACACAGCCAAAAAAATTAGTATTTTGAACCCACTCCAGATTGAAATTTAAAATACGATTTTTCTTTAAACGAAAATGTCAAAAGTTGACATATGATATGTGATTCTATTCATAGTGTCATTTTCTGTCGAATAGAGTAAAAATAAACTGGGGGTATCATTTAAAAATCAAAAGTTGTAGTCATTTCCGGTGAAACAGGAAGTGACCAAAAACAATTGAATATGTCAATCGAGCCTAATTTATGTCATATACTAACATACCAAATCTCGTTTTATTAAGTGAAAAAAAAATGTTGTAGGGGTGAGTCATTTTTCAGACATGGGTTTTAACCTTTTAACTTATACTGTGTAAACTCGGATAATGTCTACTTATCTGAATATATAATCAGTTAATCAAAAATTGGATTATGATCCAGTTAAAGGTTGATTCTCACTATACCTTCCGTTTCCATTCCATATCCGTTCCGTATTTTTTATTGTATTGAGGCTATACGTAAGCTTCCGTTCCATATCAGTTTCTTACATTTTATTGTAAAATTTATATCATTACGAAAGTTTTATTTTAAAAATCTGTATCTTTTGAAAAAGGTAATAGATTTAATTAAGATGTGAAAGAATAAATAAATATCAACAAAATGTTAACAGAGCTGATACAAATATAAGTACTTGACAACACTGTTTGCGATACGCTTCAGTCCGTCTGACAAAAAAATGTATGGAAAGAAAGGATATGGAAAGGAAGGGAAACGGATAGTATGCATTGTATGGAAGAAAAGGATTGGAACGGATAGTGTGCATTGGGGAAATGGAAGGTAGCTGATACGGAAGGTACAGTGATAATCAGCCATAATGGATATCCAATCTATAATTAAGTAATAACAAGAATAGTAACATAATATTACTATTTTTAGGATTTGCCTCTTTCATTATTAAAAGTGTGTTTTATAATAAATTATTTTTCTTTACAGGTTCTGCAAAGAAAAGGGAGGCTATTCAAGTTACACAAGTACTAACTCCAAATAAGCTATCAACAAGGAATCAGCAGAATCTCGCAGAAAGTAAGTACAATATATATTTTTGAAACATTTTTGTCTTAAAAGCAATCCATTCAATTATTGAATATTAAAAAAAAGATCTTTTAGTAAAAGCTTTATCTAGAAGTCAGTCTTATCTGCAAAATCGATCTTGATATGAACTGCCCGCTTGAATCTATGTTAGATCTAGCATTAAATGACCTGATACTGTTAAAAGATAGCTTTCTAATTAAAATTGATCTTGGTTAGACACAGACAGTTAATTGTTTAACCAAAGTTTAAGCTACCATTAATAATGATATTTAACAGAAACTAAAATGAAACTGACATCTAGATGAAGAGAAATTAGATGGAGATCTTAAAAGTAACAGCTCTTTTTAAGTAAAGAGAACATTAAAAATAATCCAGAAAAACTTGTTTTGCTTATATATGTTATATCTTTTGTATATTAAGTTACAGAGTATGAATTATTAAATTGAAAAGATGAACATTCTATGAAGACCTAATGTTCTATAAAGTTTTAAAAACTTACCGTCTTTTAATTATCTAGTTAAGTCATATTTGGAAATATAACAAGACATTCACGTTGTATAAATTTCGAATTCATGCTTACTTTAAGTAGTGAAGAGCTGCAGTTTCGCATATTACATTCAATTTGGTCACAGTAACCACATACGTAATGTTAAATATAACCCAGATTAATGTAAAACCTATTATATCAACGCAGCATTGCAGCCTTAAGGCTTATTGTACTTAGTCTATTATTTATTACTGTAACCACTTCAAAGACAGCTATTAGATATTTATGGGTTTATACTTGTTTCACAGTTTCACATTTATCTTTTATGCCCTGCAGTCACCGAAAAATCGGTATTTTACCATTACATATCAGATTATCCAATTTTCAACTCCATTCTCAGCATTTACCCTCGTGAACTAGGTATTTCAAACCAGAGAGTGGGCTTCACTTTTGAGATGTAGAGAGAATTTTTTTCTGGGAAGTAATAGTCGTTTAAAAAGTTAACGAATACTTATAGATTGTATAGGGGGGAGGGGAGTTTATAGATCTATTGTGTATTGTGAGTTATAACTCATCATACAGCTCAGGGCTTTGACAACAGAAAGTATCTGAGACGGTTTTAGAGAGGTTAGTTCTACATCTCCGATATCAGTCGTACCTAAGTTTACGACAGGAATGGTTGTTATCTCGGCGCATTCAGTGATGAGCTGTATTGTTGTTTCCCCATTCAATCTACTGGGGTGTTCATACTGTTCATTGATGAGAAAGTGGCCTAATAAAAACCCAATGGCAACCAAAGATTGTTTTTACTTAAATCAAGGAACATCTTGATTTTTTCTGTCCTGAAAGTCCTGAAAAGTCCTGAAAAGAATTTTTTTTCTGTCCCTGAAGTCCTGAAAAAGTATTTATTATTTTTACGAATATCTACTTAGCTCCATATACCCTGTCGGCAGGAGAGAGCCATCTTGTGAGTCGGAGAGAGACGAAAGCGAAATGTTTATTACATCACCACTTAATCCGACCCTATATTTCATGCACTTGAGAAAACGCTTGCCCTTCTCTCTTTGTTCAATACATCTTATCATTATGATCTTATTCTACTGAGCGTATTGACTGTACTCTTCGTATACACGAAAACCGTTACTCAAAGCCAAAACTTGCTTACCGTCACATATTATATGTTTTGCTGTTTCTGGATCTTTATCATAGATCCTACAAGACTTCCTTCATAAATTGCTCTCGGCTGAGCTTGTTTAGGTAGTACTTGACAGCCACATGTCCTCTTAAGAAACCTGTTTTAATCCGCACTTTATTCCTGCTGAGGAATAACCTTAATTTTAGGAATTTTGATGTTTATATTTATTATTTGCACTGCTGTTCCCATTTTTCTGCTGTTAGTGAACTTTTAGCTTCCCTGTCGGTAGCTTCCTTCTGGCGATTTCGCTTGTTGCGTCACATATTGGCTTTGAGATTTTAAGACGTTTTAAAATGCTTGCCAAAGTGTAATTTTCTATTACGAGTAGTATTATGATCGGTCACTTTCGGTATTAGAATTATTCTCTTCCCTTGACTTTTTTCATCATGATTTATCTTAGAAACCCCAATTATTCTCCACTATGTTCTTCTTCTTCTCGTTGTTTAACTCTGGAAAGAGTATCTATCTTGTCTCCATCCCTATCTATCTTGTGTCGCTAGAGAAGCTTTTTGTAGATCGAAATCAATAATTTCTTTAGTTTTGCGCGTTGGAGACTTTCATCTTGGTCGTTTGCCATTAATCTTATCTTCGATGATTATTTCTTCCGGTCCATCAGTTCTTTTCGAAAGGTGCCCAAAGTACCTAAGGTATGACTGGTTTATTTTCGTTGAAAGTCTTGTGGTGACTTTCATCTGTCTCAGAATGGCGACATGGGTCCGGCGGGCGTTCTGAATATGAAAGCCACAGCTAGTATTCTTCTGTAGGTCCACATCTCGATACCCTTAGATTATCTAGGCCCATTAGGGTGCACATTTTTTTCTTTTTAGTTACCGTGAAAATATCGTTCAGGATGATGAAAAAAAAATCTGGTAAAGTTTGAATTTTTAATATTAGTATTAAGAGGTGCCTCATCGTGATTTTCTATTTCCCATTTATATACCACGGAGAAACAATTTTTTTCTTTTGAATTTTATTGCGTTCTAACAAATCAGCATTTGGGAAAATTAATACATATTCTTGTAGTAAATTGAAGGTCTTCAAAAAAGATCTGATATAAATTTTCATTTAATCAACTCGTTTGGAAGTTATTGAAGGGTAGAGTTCAACTTCAAATCCTATATGATAACTTCCGCAATTTTTTATATTTTATCACTAAATATTGGCTCATAAATATAAACTATCATATTTTATCATGAAATAATGGCTCAAACATCTAAAATATCATATTTGATGTTTTTGAGCCATTTCGTGAGAAAATACACACACCGAAAAAGTCTTGGGATATTACAATTTTATCCAGCCATCGTCAGTAATTTTATTATTTGCATTTCTGATATAATAAAATTAAAATAAACAAATAGTTTACAGGATGTATTGGAAATAAAAATACAAAATTTACCGAATTTTTCAAATTTACCTTGATTTTTATTGAACTCAAAAAAATACACACATTTTTTTTTATTCTAAACTGTGAATTAAAAAAAAAAGATAAAACCATTTTTACTTAATAAAGGGTATGTCCTCCTCTGCTGTTCTTTACAGCCCTACATCGTCTCTCCATGCTCCTGATCAAGTTGTCGATCTCTTCTTGAGGTACAGCCTGCTACGCTGCATTCACGGCCCGAAAAAGATCCTCACGAGTTTCACGAGGCATACCCATTCTCAAAATTCTTCTTTGGACCGCGTCCCATACGTGCTCGATAGGGTTGAGGTCAAGAGATTGTGCCGGCCAGGGTAAGATGTTTAATTGATGAACATTGATAAACTCACTTACCACTCTGGCTGTATGAGGCCGCGCATTATCATGCATGAGAATGAAGTTTCTCCCAAAATCATTGGCATATGGTAACACGACAGGCTCAAGAATTAAATCACGATATGTGATTCCTGTTAGAAACCTTTCAAGAAAAACGAGATCGGTTTTTCGGCCTAACTAGACTCCTCCCCAGACCATAACTGTTCCACCTTGATAAAGGTGCACTTCCTGAACATGATCCAACCGAATAAGATTTCCCAGTTCTCTCCATACCCTAAGCCTTCTCGAATCCGGATGAATTCCAAAGCGTGACTCATCCGTAAAGAGAACATTGGCCCATTGTTTATTCGACCACTGAACATGATCTTGAGCCCGCAAATATCGTACCTCTCGATTTCCTCTCGTAAGGGGTTGAGCTCTCAAGGCGCGACTACTTCTTAAGTTGACCTCTCTTAATCTATTGCGAACAGTGTCAGGACTAACGGTTACATTATGTGTTTCCTGGAGAATTAAACTAAGCTCTGGTGCTGTAAGAGTCGGTCGGCGTCGAGCATTTAATTGTAAAAAATGATCTTGCTGAGGGGTAGTAATGCGATGTCGCCCTGTGTGCCTTTCAGCAACATCACCACTTAGTAGGTACGTAGCGTGCACTTAATCGCGATATTACACTTTGCGTTGTATTTAATGCTCTAGCTACGTCGATTTGGCGCATTCCAGCTTCGAGCATACCCATGGCCCTTAGCATTTCGTCTCTGTTAAGATGTCTACGCTCCATAATGTCGTTTAATACTAAACAGAGTTCTTTGAATGAATTCTGGCCAGTTATCATAAAAACATAGCCAGTACAGGTTAAATTCGAACAATTGATGCTAGGTGCTTTTTATACATTTGACAAAAAATGCACAAACACTTCTGCAAATATCCCAAATTTAGAAATAACTAGTGTGACTACTTCGTTTCAATCGAAGTAGAAAGAATCGGCCTACAAATATGTGGTTGTTTATTGAAAACATTTATTTTTAACTTTAATAAAATGATATCCCTAGATTTTTCCGGTGTGTGTATAAAAAAAATGTAGAATGTATCATATACGATTTAAGGTTGAACTTTAATCTTCAATAACTTTCAAACGAGTCGATTAAATGAAAATTCATATTAGACCTTTTTTGAAGACCGTTTAATTTCTTACAGGCATATCGTATTGATTTTTACAAAACGCTGTTGTTTCCGCTTGTTATTTAAATGGGAAATAGAAAATCATGATGGAGCATCTGTTAATATTAATAATAAAAACTCAAACTTTACCAGAATTTTTTTTCATCATCCTGAACGATATTTTCACGGTAACTAAAAAGAAAAAAATATTTTTTTTTGGTGCACCCTAAGGCCCCCACTAGGTTAATGTCACTCTAATTTTTAACATCAAACTTTTCATAAAGCTTCATTATGAAAAAGAAAACTCTATTTTTTAAGCTAAATTAAGGAAAATTAAAAACGGGCAATAGTTCTATTATTTGTATGAGTATAAAAACATCAAATTATAATAATAATGACACACCAATATTTTTGTTCTTGAACAATACACGTAGGAAGTAAGCGATTAGCATTTTTTAATTAGAAAACTTTTATTTTCTTCGACTGTCCATTTTTTGTTATTTGATTAACAAGATTAGGCCGCGCTTATGTGTAAATGAACTTCCGCACATAATAAATTATTCAGAACATCAGGTAGAATGTGTGTGCATTTCGACGAAGGATTAACACATGATAAAAGTACGTGCTCTCTGCAATATTAACTTTAAAGGAGATAGAGCTTTCAATTTTGTTCGTATGCGTGTTTATGTCACTTTTGTATCTTATATTTATTTCCGTTACAAGAATACTAAACTGTGTGTTAGAATGTCGATCAACAGACTACTAATGGTCTATCTAAAAAAGGGAATTTCACGTCGTTCGACACTTAAAAAAAATTATGAACATTTTTAAGAATTAGTTTTAATAATCTGCATCTGCATTCTCCGTTTTGGTGAGTTCCTGGATTACAGTTGGGGGTTGGAACCTTTGGTGTTACTACAACACCTAACTAAAACACTAATTCACTACAATACATCAAAACACTTTACTTTTTTAACACTGGACGCGCGTAACCATTAGTTAAAACTGGATATGACACTAGCCATGTTACCCTCACCAGCAGAGTTTTAATCATCTGCTGTAAAGTGCTTTGGTGTATTGTGGTGAATTAGTGTTTTATTTTGCAGTTCCTACGAAGTATTTTTTTGTTATAAAAATAAAATATAAAATTTACCGAAAAAATAATCCGGTACTGGTCAAACATTCATACCATAGCAAATAGAGGGTGAGTCTTAAATTAGCGCAAATATTTTAGGGGTAGTATATTTCAACGCCAGAAACGCCATTATGAGTTTTTTTTGGCGATTTTTTTTTTGAATATTTGGAATTTTTGAAAAAATTTTTGGATTTTTTTTATTTTTAGTAAAAAACCGAGAGGTAAACCGCAGAGGAATTATGGTGTACACTATGAAGGAATTCTACAGGAATTCCAAGGAATTACGAGGAATTCCAAGGAATTCCATAGGAATTAGTAGGAATTCCAATTATTTCCGTAAGAATTCCAAGGAATTCCTTAGAAATTTAGAGGAATTCCACAGGAATTAAGAGGAATTACAAGCAAATTTATAAAAAATTAGCGAACATTAGTAAACCATGAATACTATAATAGGTAGTACTAAATTTAAAGAAAAACGTTTTGCAGGCGATTTTTTACTATCCGTTTTTCGTTTTCACTTCCAAAATTTCCCAATATCAAATATCTACACAGGTTAGATATTTTTTTAATTTAATATTGTACCCTCGATTTTATATCTAAAATATTTTCCAATAGTACGGCCGAACCACCCCCGAGAGATCTACTTATAACGTTCCCTGATTTCGCCATTTTAAAGAAACCCTCATAAGATTTTTTTATTCAGTACTCAGAAAGTGTAAAGTTGATTTTTTCATTTCCACGGAATAATACCTAGGTATATACTATAGGGAAATTAATACAACTTTAGGTGCACTTCATCAATGATACCATGCGTAATCTTATGGAATTTACTGGTGATCGTATTATGACGTGCAACTGAAGTTTTATTAATTTCCTTTCCTATAGATACGAGTATAACTAGGTACCTATCATTTTCAAAAAATCCCGAGAAAAATTAATTTTAATAAGTAAGTGCCGACATATTTCCAGTATTTTTACCTCATGATCCCCTATTAGTCCTAAAATTTAACTAAAAAAACGTAAATCTCGTAATAGTACTTTTTATTGTTAGATCTAGTACTTATAGAGACATTAGACATTTATAAAAATCACCAGAAAATTCATAGCGGAACTGCGAAACCGAGGTGGCAACGCTGGTTCAGACTGAAAGAGTTACCGAGTTCGTATCAAAGAATTCCAAGGAAGACCTTGAATGATTGACCTTAACCTTGAAGACCAGGAATTCCAAGGAATTCCGAAGGAATTACGAGGAATTCTGAGGAATTATTTGAGTAAAAGGAATTACGGTGTACACTTTTCCCTCTGCGGTTTACCCCTCGTAAAAAACATAATTTCCTAATCATATGGCAACATAGGTAGTAGATTAAATTTAAAAGAAAGAAAACCCAGAAAAGTGGTTCTCAAAATTTAAGCCAAAAATCTTTTTTTTTGGAAATTTTCGAAATAAAGTAACTCGGTTGTTTTGGACTTATTTGAAACACGGTTATGAGATAATATGTTTTTTTTAATCGAGATCTACCAGCCCGGAAAATATTTGCACTTATTTACGACTCACCCTGTATAGCATTGTTTTCTTTTCTGCGATATCATCATTAAAAAATGAATATCTAATGAAAAGACGTAAAATTTTTATTTTGCATAACTAAAATGCAATACTATAAATTATGTTAAAAATACTAAATATTATGTTAATGATTGAATAATTCTTTACATGATATTATTTTCTATGTTCAAATCGGAGATAGAACACATGATAATATATAAAATCTTTGTTAGGTATGTAAGTTAATGTAGGTATAGTATAGTAGGCTATGGTAATTTTAAAATGATCATTTAACACAATATGTTTCTTTGAGCTTCTTCGGGGATAAGAAAATCAACTACTAATAATAGATCATTCCAAAATGACCGTTAATATTCATAATTATTAATGATCGTTGGATTTTTTCATATAACGTCAATTTTATATAATAATTTCTTGCCTTTCACGGACCAGCTTTTATATACTAAAACCAACTCAATCAATCTTGAAAGTGAAAATTCTAAAATTTTATCTACAAATATTACCTTAAAAATTTTAAACATAAAAAAGGTTTTGTAATAAACATGTTTTGATGAAATAAAATTTAATGCTAATTTATATTTCCTTTGAGAGTGCGCCGAGACGACAACCATTCGTGCCATGAATTTTGGTACGACTGATATTGGAGATGGAGAACTACCCTCTATAAAACCGTCCCAGATACTGGCTTTTGTCAAAGCCCTGGGACTGTATGATGAGTTATGATTCAAGAAAGGGGGACACAATGGATCTGTAAGGTCGAAGTGATTAACCCCCCTCCCACTCATTCTAAATTCTAAAAAATTCTATATTTCCTTTGTGTAATTTACTTAAAATTAAGAACATCTTATATATTTTTTCGATATATACCGGGTGTTTCTCAAAAGTGGCTTTGAAAACTTGTTTATTTTTTCAGGTAAAAAAAACGGGATTTGGTATGTTAGTATATGACATAAAATAGGATTGATTGACGTATTCAATTGTTTTCGGTCACTTCCTGTTTCACGGGCCTTTCACGGGCCAGCTTTTATATACTAAAACCAACTCAATCAATCTTGAAAGTGAAAATTCTAAAATTTTATCTACAAATATTACCTTAAAAATTTTGAACATAAAAAAGGTTTTGTAATAAACATGTTTTGATGTAATAAAATTTAATGCTAATTTATATTTCTTTGTGTAATTTACTTAAAATTAAGAACATCTTATATATTTTTTCGATATATACCGGGTGTTTCTCAAAAGTGGCTTTGAAAACTTGTTTATTTTTTCAGGTAAAAAAAACGGGATTTGGTATGTTAGTGTATGACATAAAATAGGATTGATTGACGTATTCAATTGTTTTCGGTCACTTCCTGTTTCACCGGAAATGACTACAGTTTTTGATTTTTAAACGGCACCCTCGGTATTTTTTAACTTTATTCGATAGAAAATGACATTCTGAATAGAAAGTTTTCAATCTAGAGTGCCATGACTGTGTTAAAACCACTAATTTATACTCAAGGAACCATGGAAAAATAGATTTGGTCGTCTAATGGATTTCGTATCTTTTCCTGGCCGGTTAAAAAATGCCCAGATCGTATTTTTAATCATATTTCAAATTTTTCAAATAGAACGACGATGGCTCATTAGCATATTTGGAAAAAGCATTTTTTATGAATAATTTGGTACCACACATTTGGTATTTCGAGTCAAATTGGCATTATGAATGGCATGTTACAATTTAGCATCAAGTCAAAGTGTATAGAAATAAGTTTTTTCTTTTTAAAATAAAAAAATAACTTAAATTTTTATGATGTTTCAGGTAAGAAAAATGCCAACATCAGTCCGTCATCATCCAATGAACTCAAAAATAGGCGAAACATATTTTCATCCAAAGAAAAACCTAAACAACAATCAACTCTTCCAAAAGGTAAGTTGCTAGTTATATTTTAAATTTAGCAGCATAACGTTGAATACATATTTTTCAAACGGAAATACTAAACATTTCACCATAATGCGAACATTTTTCTTTTAAATCATATGGCATACGTCAAAAAATATTTCTTTTTTAAGTTTACCTCAAAAAAAGCGAAATAAAAGATAATATCTTAATAATTTCAGAATGTTAGTTTAGTCTGTTATTAGTATTAATTTGAATATTTATTAATTAAATTTACAAACCAAATTTTATACTAATTATGTGAGAGCTGTGAAAACAGCTCTCACCGTTTACATTGTTGAGAGTGATTTTCTCATCATTTTATTACTGGTATTTAATCTAAACAGTTTGAAAAATAACTAAATTGCTTAATAATACACATGTGAATGATCATAATTGAAGACATTTAACAAAAAAATAATATTGTGATTTTCAAATATATCTTTTAGACTTCAAAACAGACATTAAGTAAATAAAGTCAATTCTAGCTATATTTTTACAGGGTCTGTCTTACATAAGTGGACATATTTTAGGGGTGATATATTGCGATTCTAGGAACACGTTTCAGCAGTTTTTTTTTGAAAATTTTAGGTTTTTATAAAATTATTTGGGAGTTTTTTTTTTAATTTCCTGTTAGAAAAAATAATATCTAGATAATATCTAAATTTAATCCGCTATCTATGTGTAATATTATCAAGATATTCTGTTTTTAACTAAATATTTAAAATTTCGATTTTTTTAACAATAAAAAGATATTTAAAAAATTTTCGCAAAATAAAATCTCATCTGAGGTCGAAATATACCAACCCTAAAAATATTTGCACTTATTTACGACACCCTGTATAATGTGAAAATTATTTCAATTAGCTGTGTTCGAAGTATTCAACAGATATAATTCTGGAAACGCTGAAAATTTTACATTTACAATTTATAATAGTGCATTCACCATTTTGTCAAGATTAATTTAGAGAAAGTTTAAAATTATTGTGGCCAAAAAAATGATTATTTTATTATATCTACTAAGCAGACCCCTGCAAATAAAAAGAGCTACTAAGTTTTAACTTGTCAACATATGACAAACCAATAAGTCACTCTCAAATTTAATTTATTCAAGCTTTAACTGTACATTTTAAAGAAAGTTGTATGTAGTAAGTAGGTGGTATAACTACTAGCTGTGCCACTAGCAATTTTAGACAGGTGTAATAGTGAAATATTATAGGTATAAGAAGCAGGTACAATAATTAAATAAGTTTAATTTTTTATATTATGTCAGATATAAAATTAGTTTAGGAATTAACTACACTACGTATTAAATAATAAATCAAATAAACCAATATGTCTGGTTTGGTATATATTTTCAATGACTTTCGGAAACGTATTTTTATTTTTTTATTTATAATTTATATAAAATTAATTATTAGCTAATACATATAACAATTTGATCAGTAAACTCTCTCTCTCTCTCTCTGTCTTTATTCCTACAAAAGGAATGTAGTGGTCAGGTGATGTGTGAGGTTTGTCTCCATAATTCCCTGTCTTGTGCTTCATGTACAAGCGTGTGGGTGATTTTTGATAGCTGGTCTATCCATCGGGAGGGCGAGCGGCCTCTTGGTCTTCTTCCCGGAACCTTGCCCTTTATAATGAGTTTCTCCCTTTGAATAAGAAGACTAAGGAAGGAGCATATCAAAAATCTTAGGTACACCGCGATGGGCCTCAAATATGGCCGACTTAAATTCCGGTTTATCAGTGTCGTTCTAATTTTATTTAAAAAATGTAAAACTATGATGTAGGGTAGACGTGGGGTAGACTCAATAATTTGTTGTTTTATTTTACGTTGTGAATAAATGTTGGTAGTTAATAAAATTGTTATAAAAATATATAATTCTAATAAAAATAGATAAGTTATAATAAGTATTTATTAACACAAACATCCGGTACGCTAATGAAGCAGGTAAGTCAAATTAACGTATCTAAATTCTTTGACATCTAATCTTTGACAAGTAATAAATAAAAGCTAAAATGCAAGAAAAATATATAATTTAGTGAATTTAAGTGAATTTCATAAATGATCGGTTTACTACACGTATGTATATTATATAGTCACTTACTAGCGAAAAGTTGTTCCATTATTTCACTCAATTTTTGCCGAGATCTACCGCACGCTACACATCCAACTATTTTAGAGTCGATAAATCGCGATAGTGTCACTGTTAATTTAAGTTCTGTCACAATTTCCATCTAGATTTACTACCTTTATACAACTATCAGTAGTAGAATAAATAATAAATAACATAAAATAAGCTCCGTAAAGACTGACAAATCCACAAAATTTCAAATCAAATTCAAATGTGTCAAATGAATCGTCAAACAGAACTGTCAAGGATCCCCACCCTAGAGAGCTTTTATGGTGGCTTTTCCGCCCACCATGCATGAATACACGGATAGCATTATGCTCCTTCCTTAGTCTTCTTATTCAAAGGTTTTTCCATACAGTCAGTATCCCTCCTCATAACGTGACCGAACTATATAAGTATACGTGACTGTATAGAAGTTGAGAGGCGTTCTGTGATGTTCAGTTCTTGGATTATGGATTCATTGGTTCGCCGGGCAGTCCAGGAAATTCTGAGCATTCGTCGCCAACAGTACATCTCAGTTGCGTCAATTTTTTTCATTTCTGACTGTCTCATAGTCCAGGACTCGGAGCCATACATTAATATAGGAAATATTAGGCAGTGAACAAGCCTTTTTTTTAAGTGTTTAGATATGTATATTATTTTTTTTATGTATGATCAGTAAACTAATCTGATAGATATACTAGAATTAAAATAACTATTATTGAATAGAATCCAACAATAATTCAATGCTAAATTTGTAACTTGCGCAAAATGCGCATTAGTAAAATACCTACTCATAAATTATGAGTAAAAAATACTCATAAAAAAAAATAAAAAAATATAGCGAAGTTAACTCAAATATAGTATATGAAAAAGTGAAGTTTATACAGGGTGAGTCTTAAATAAGTGCAAATATTTTCAGGACTGGTAGATCTCGATAAAAGAAACATATCGTTGGCTTTATGACGAAAAGGCGTATCTCGATTTTTGCTACTTTTCAGGAGAGCAATTTAAAGAAAATCACTTGCTTTATTTGGCCAATAAATGTAAAGTCTTTAAGTTTTTAATAGTGTTTTTGTATTAACACGTAAACGGAGACATTGAGGAAACGTTCTGAAGATAAATTGTGCGAAAATTCTAATAAATAATTTCTTTTTAGTTGTTTAATAGAGATAGGCATTTTTGTTATAATAATATAAATTTATTTCCGAACGAATAGTATACATACGCCCATGTAAAATAAATTTAAAAATGATGGTAAAGTGTTCTTAATAAGGGAAAAAAATACAATATTCACATTATGGAATACATACAAGAAAATACAATACATACATACAGAAAAAATCTGAAAATCACCAAAAAATCAGAAACAAATATTTTTAAATACTTTTATTCGCGTTGGATTGGATCATCTGAAAACAAAGAATTTTCATTCCAGAAGCAAAGACAATAATCAGTTAAAATACACTTATCTAGCTTATTTTAATAATATTGTTTTTTATACAAAAATACATTTTTTTAACTAATATATTTTTAGTAATTATTCAGTTAATTGAGGGCATTAATACAAGGCATTTAAACCAAACTAAACAAAAACAAAACATGTTTCTTCATTCGTGCCTTTTTGATACAAATAACTGAGGACTAACAGTTTCTGTTTTCCCTGTTCAATGATTACAAATTCGACTTCCATTCTACGTGTTTATGCAGGATGATGATAGGCACAATAAATAAAATTTTCCAAAAATTGACAGGGATGACAATGCCAATGGCCTGACAATGATAATGAGATAAAAATTATTGTATTTTTCGGGCAAGTTTTTGGTTCGCTAAAATGTTCTTAGGGAAATTATAATTTCGGGAATTTTTCCATTAGGGCAATTTTCGTTTCGTTGTTTTGCTTTCGATCAATTTTTCTTCGGCCATTTATTCTCGGGCAATCTTTTGCATACCCGATACAGCTATGTGCAGAGGCTAGCTCATTCTAACAATGGTTTTTGGCAAAAAAACAGACTCAAAATCACACTGTAAAAAAGAGCTGCTGCCATGATAGATGTTTTATTTTGTCCCAAGCAACCATCAGAAAATAATTAGGTAGAATGGTGTGATTTTCTCTCGCATGCATTTTCATAACTTAAAACAAAAGGACCTATCTCAAATTCCATCTTTCTTGTAGTATAACAATTGGTATAACAATTGATATAACAAGAGCCCTATCTCAACGTACGTCTCTTCTTCACAACGAAGAATTGTAGTATTTGATATGGGGCAAATTTTTAAATCAATATAAAATGAAAAAGGTACAATATTGAGATGCGCAAATTCGCTATGTTAAAATATGACCCGTTGGGCATGTCATGACTTTGATATCTCAAAATCGCCAAAAATCGAGATACGCCTTTTCGTCATAAAGCCGACGATATTTTCTCTTTACCGTTTTTTTCAAAAAAAAATATTTTTCGCTTAAATGTTGAGAACCGCTGGATTTTTTCTGGGTTTTCTTCCTTGTAGATTTATTAAATTAATAATACAATAATAACATTACATACGTTTCCGTATTTTGAAGATATAATGTTTAATAACTAAAAATTTTTTTAAAAAAATCAATTTTTTTTTCGCGAAAAAAACCTCATAGACGTGTTTCTGGGGGGTCGAAATATACTACCTCTAAAAACATTTACACTTATTTATGACTCACCCTGTATAGTAGAAATATATTATTTTTTTCTGCTTGGCATTAAGGAATAAAATTAAATTTTATAGTATTTAATTTAATATACAGGGTGTCTCAGATATTAATCGGGAAAATTTAATAGACGATAGAACTTGCAAAAATAAAACAAAAAGTTTATATCAACTTGTAAGATTTAAAGCTTC